AAATCACTCATTCATCTAAACGCACTAAATCGTACAAAATATGTAAACAAACTCCATTCTCTGGTTGTGGTAGTGTTTGACATATATAACACATCTTATCACAATTTCACTCAGTTTCACGTTCTATATTTGGTTTGTGTTCAAAACAGCTGTGCACAATTCATTTTGTGTTATTTGTGTAGAGAGCGTAGCCTTGCGCACATTACATTTTCTTACTCGAATTGTGCTAGTCGTGAAATTGGAATTTGAAAAAGAATTATACATATCTATATACATCGAAATTGTCAAATTCCATTGGAAAACACGTGTCGTACATTCAGTCAGTCATAAATAGTATTCACATCAGGTAAAACGCACATATACGGCTGCTCTGATTTTTACAGTGAACTTTTTCGTACGATTTTTATTGCAATTTTGAAAAAATGGCATTTAGACCACAACCAAAAGGATTTGCAACGAAAGCAATTCACGTTGGTCAGGATCCGGAACAATGGTCACATCAATCGGTCATACCACCATTGGTTACAAGCACCACATTTAAGCAACCGGCTCCAGCCGAACCAATTGTAAGTGTTAATTGAAACGATTTCATGCTGAAAGTACGAAAAATTCATTCAAAAAACAAACCATATCACACTTTTGAGTGCGCATTTCAAAGATAAAATACGAACTCAAATACAAGATAATGATCTCAGACGCAAACAAATGACGTAAACAATTTTGCGACCAAAATATTTTTTTCGAAAAAAAAAAATCAAAAATGATTGAATTACATTTCCCATGCACGTGTTCATTTAATGACCGAAAATATATTTTTTTTCATCGTTGTGACGGAATAACATGATTTTCAACTGGTTTTCGACGCAAAAAAATGAATCAAGATGAAAAAATCAGAATTTTGAAAATTAATCGTGAGTCAGCGTTTTATAATCGTATTCACTCAGTTTTGATTTTTGTTCCATGCTTAGACCGGCCGGCTTTTTTGTTTGTTTAATCAACCAAAACCATTTGCGTCAATCATTTTTTTCACTCCAAAAATGTTGATTGATATCTTGACCCAATTAACATATGCAAGTCATCTCTTGATGATTGCAATGAAATATTTGGTGTGAATATGAAATGTCTGAGCTATCGTGTGTTTACAGTTGTCGCCGCATCCACCTATACATATACAGCTGCGAGGTTGACTTTTTTTTAAATATATCAACTATATAGTCGCTTACATTTAATATCCCGTATGAAAAATATTTTTCACATATATTTTCGCAATGATTTTATACTTTCATTTTTTTTTAAATCCAACTAATTTCAACAAGAATAGAATCGGATTTCTCTACACCGCATAGTTAAATTTAACGATTTTGTTTACATTTCGTACGCATTAGGTTTCAATTCAGCAATCAATTTGCATGTAATTAAATTTATTGACTTGACATTAACCTTCTGGCGTACCCATTCTGCACATTGGAATTAAAATCCGATCGATTACCAAAATTTGCATTATTGTAATTGTTGCCAAAAAAAAATAGATGAATACTCATTGAACCTTGTGTGCAAAATATGAACCTGAATTAATTACTATTAATTTCAGCTCTATGAATACGGTCGCAGTGGCAATCCAACGCGTGATGTTCTTGAAAAATGCTTCGCTTCGTTGGACAATGGTAAATATGGATTGGCTTTCAGCAGCGGTTTGGGCACAACAACAATCATAACTCAGCTATTGAGCGCGGGCGACCACATCATCAGCTGCGACGATGTTTATGGTGGTACGAATCGTTTGTTTTCCAAAGTTACTGCACGTCTAGGAATCGAAATCGATTTTGTCGATGCAATTAATTTGGATAACGTGAAAAAGGCCATCAAGAAAAATACAAGAGTAAGTCATTCTTCAAAACCGGTATTTCGTTGAAGATTGGAAAGATTAATACTTTGTATGTTCTTCTCTTGTAGTTAGTTTGGATCGAAACGCCAACAAATCCATGCATGAAGGTCCTAGACATCGAAGCAATTTCAAAATTGGCTCATTCTTATGAAAATATTATCGTTGTTGTGGATAACACCTTTATTACATCGTACTTCCAACGTCCGTTAGAGTTGGGAGCCGATATTGTTGCATATTCGGTTAGTAAATACATGAACGGCCATTCGGACGTAATAATGGGTGCGGCCGTTGTTAACGATGACAACTTGTACGAACGTCTTAAATTCTTGCAAAATGCTTCGGGTGTTATACCATCGCCATTCGATTGCTACCAAGTCAATCGAAGTTTGAAAACGCTAAAATTGAGAATGGAGCAACATTGGAAATCGTCGGTGATTGTGGCCGAATTTCTGGAGTCTCATCCAAATGTCGAACGTGTCTTGCATCCTGGAATTCCATCGCATCCACAATACAAATTGGTGTTGAAACAAACATACGGTCACAGTGGCATCATGTCGTTTTACCTCAAAGGCGGTTTGAATGAGTCAAAGAAATTCTTGCAATCGCTTAAAGTATTCACATTGGCCGAGAGTTTGGGGGGATACGAGAGCCTTGCTGAATTACCGTAAGTTTTTTTTCAAATTCGAATGATGCCCGAAAATACTTTTTCCCCGAAAATGTGAGATTATTTTTTTTTTGAATATTTATTTTCTTTCCCAAATTAGATCACTCATGACTCACGCTTCAGTGCCAGCAGAACAACGTGTTGTATTGGGCATCAATGATTCCCTCATTCGGCTTTCGGTTGGGTTGGAAGATGTTGAAGATCTGGTCGATGACTTGAAACAAGCGCTCAAAGCTACTTTCGATTAAGCATAATAGTTTCGAATAAATTCTTATCATTTTCAATACAAAGATTTTACTCCAAATTGAAGCTCAAATGATGCTACACTATTTACTCTATTCCAAATACTGTTTTTTGTTCTTTACCATGTTTAAAAATAAACGTGTTTCGTGTGGAGTCTGGTGATTTAACATCGTGTTTTATAAAACAATTTTGAGACCAAATACTTTATATTATTATCCATCACAGATCTAATGCTAATCTAAATTGTGTAAACCAAATAGAAAGAAACAATATCTGTCATATCAAAACGTATCAAAACGAAATAAATTAAAAACATCCATTAAAATGGAATTGGATTTATTAGACCAACCTCGGAGAGTGAATACTCTCTATCCACATATGGATATAAATCTTACAGTCGTAAAAATGTTTTGCACTGGTGAATATTCTGAGACGGATTTTTATGGTACTTGCTCTTGCATTGTTTTATTGATGATTCAGAAATTTAATCTCTACCTTGAAATGATTCCGTATTAGTTCAAGTTATGTTCATCATATATTCAGTTCAATTGCACTTGATTTCCACGTGGAATCAGATGAATTTAAATAAATTGTAAGTACACATCACAAAGAGAACATCAAAATTTGATGAGACATTAAAAGTTATTAAAACTTTTCATGTTTACTCAAAATTGATTAGCCATTTGATTTATGAGCAGATAACGAATTAATTTGTAATATGAAAATAACAACATAACGTCAAAAAGTCTAGTAAATCAAATTTTTTCCACAAATGATTTGTAAATATTTTAGCGACAAGATTAAAAACTATATACGTATGATCAAACGATAATGCGCGATAACACTGTATCATACAATTTGTATCTCGTACAATAAACTTCGTACAAGTGGAACATCTATTCCACTTCTGCACTTTGTAAACAATTACTTGATTTAAAATTACAATCAGTTGTTACACTGTTCAGAAAATATTTGTCAGTCAGTATAGCTTTAAAGCTGCATTTTGCTCGCTTTCTCCATTTCTAACTCAAAAAATAATAATTTTTTTACTTCTTTTGTGACTGCTTGTGGATGAAAATCATAAAATATGGCATTTAGACCACAACCAGGTGAATTTGCAACGGAAGTCGTTCACGTTGGACAGGACCCAGAACAATGGCCAAGTCAGCCAGTTGTGCAGTCGTAACGGAAATCCATCCAGTCGTAACCTATCCAACGGTATACAATATGTATACCTCTGTATACAGTATACAAGAAAAATTCCATTATGTGCTAAAATTCACCATCTTGGTCGCGATAAAAGGAATTTTAGTAGCGAATTAATCTGGCTCAGGTAGGGACCCTCCCCTATCGATAGAGTTAAGTGACATGAGCCTCTTGAATCACCCTCCAATTTTGCAGAACATACCCAAGTGATAAAACTATACCCAATTTTACAAATACATTTTCGGGATTTTTTTTGTATACTGTATACAAAGGTAAACATATTGTATACCGTTGGATAGGTATTAATGAGTACAACAATAATGACCCAAGAGGGGTGCCCTACCCCCCATGGTATGGAAGGTGTGCCCTCCGGAGTATTTTTGAACCTCCCCGTGAAAAACGCCCCCTAGCGGGAATTTTGAAAATCGCACCA